TTTTTTTTTTTTTTTTTTTTTGGTGCTGGGGATTGAACTCGGGCCCTTGTGCTTTCAAGGCAGGCGACGAAACCACTGAGCTAAATCCCTGGCCCCACATTTGTATTTTTTAAAGCATTGTAGATCATTGGGATCTTCAGAAATAAGTAAATTTAAAGAAAGAGGACTAAATTGATGGCTTTCTGATTGCAGGGGTGGATTTTAGGTTGTTCTTTCAGAGGATACCTGGAGGGAAGGGAGGAAGAGGTGGATAGAGTCCTTTACCCCCAGCCCAGTGCTCTTCTTTTACTTGTTGCGCACTTGTACATTCTTATGATTTATGGAAATGATTCTGAGAGTTATCACCTCCGCCAGACTAAGACTCATAGAATAAAAAGCAGTACTGCTCTCAATCCCAGAATAAGTGTTGCTGCCCAGGGGTACCTCCGTGGGAGCTTGCTGTGTCTATTTCAGGAAACACAGAAAAAGAGGCGAAAGGGCACTGAAGGCAGACCTTGTGATATTATTCACACGAGAGTTCAGAAGAGCCTTTTCCATACTCTGAGGAGGTTGCTGGTATTTTAACCAGTTGGAGGTGTTCCTGTAGCCTTAGGCTTTCTCTGTGAAGCTTCTTGATCTCTTCCTGTCCTCAAAGTCTGACAGGTTTATGTCTGCTTTTTTATAATGTTATACACACTGTTGCACTTGATATGATATACTGTAGTTGTATTTTATAGTTGTATTTAAAATACAATAAGGAATAGTTCTTGTTAGTCTGAACTCCTTAGGGGAAAGGGTTTAATAGTCCTAACTGCCACTTGCAGTTGGGCATGGTCATGTGACTGTGCTGCTGATCATATGCTTCCTTCAGGTCTTCAGAAGGAGCAGGGCACAAAGACCTCAGGTCAGTTAGAGATAGAATAATCAGAGATTTTATCAGAAATATTGTAAATGTTGGGACATTGGCTATGGTGAGTTCTGACTGGTTTGTGTACTGCCTTGATGCCCATGCTTGAAAACCTGCCTCTTTTTAAGGCTGAGTTTCTAGCCTGCCCACCACCTCTATGAGTTACTTGACACGTGGCAATAAGC